TATATATATATATATATATATACACACATACTGTACATACACACACACACACACAAATTTTATGTATTGTTGAATGCCTATACAGAATTTTATATTTAACTTTATTGGTAATGTGCTCCGATGGGTAGATTTTGATTGATTTACACTTGGTCTGTAGAAATTGTATAAGTGTATTTTATTTGGCTCCCTGTTATTTGCTTTAACAGGGTTTAATGGGGGGCACTTCTGCTTCACACCTCCAGCACTGGGTGTTTAAATCCCACCCTCCCTAGAGCCTGGACTTCGTGTGGGGGGGGGGGGGGGTGGTAAATTATATGTGCCTTCATAGTCTTTAAGTTATATTCTGTTTTCACCTTCCTCCAGAAATATATATGCAACTGGACTGAGATTTTTCAATGATTTTAATTAAGAAAGCTCAAAAAAATGTGCAATATTGTGCCAACAGTATGTAATAAGTATCAAAATAAAGCTCATGTTCCTCATTACCTGATTTCAGTGCTGAGAGTAAAATGTGATTTTATTACTGTAATATGTTGAACTAAACTTGCAAAGAACATATAGCTTCAGTATCCTTCCATCCACTGATCCAGTACAACCTATACCAGGATCTCATCCAGGGGGTTCCTCTGCATCATAAGGCGCATACCCAATATGGGCAATTTATGGTGCTTTTCCGCTGCAGGGTTATTCCATTATAAACCTAAAATTAGCTGTGTCAGAAGCATTGGGGTAGTTTGCAAACCTGGCATACAATTTAGAAGGCAATTCGACTCTTACATACATGTAAACGTGTGCGGACTTCTCGCACCAGCCAGCTGACCAAAGTTGGCAAGCCTGCCACTGTCACCAGGAACTGACAGAACCGTACTGGGAACTGACGGTTTTCCATTGTAAATTATGCAAGCCGTGCCCGGCACTGACATGGCCCTGCTTAGCAGAAATTGTTCTTTACCCCCTGCTCGGGTACGACTCACATAATTTATGTTGGAAAGCCGTCAGTTCGCGGTCATGGCAGTGGAAGTGCGCCAAAAAAGAAAACTGGTTATGTCACCATCACCTGATTTGTCTGAATACAAAGAGATACCGGTGATCTGCGCTGATGCGCATGGATTGCATGAACGGAAAAGGGGCATATTTTATATATTACTCCTTATTATTTGTATGGCATATAATGGTGTACTGATGTATTCCCGATAGCTCCAAACCTGAAAAATTCCAACCTCCTACTTATTGAAGTACTACGGAACATCTGAATGGAAAGGATTCGTAATGCAAATTTAGGCAAGCGAATGCTAATTCTGCTGGCATCTGATGCCAATATAACAACAGAAGTGCTAGCGGTTATTAACACTCTATACTGACTCTTCTGCGAAAAAAGCGGAGCGAGCTGGAATCGCACCATAACCATGCGGTCTCTCTTCGGGGTACAGCCTGGTTCCTGTATGCCAGTGGAAAAGCGCCACAGCCCCGAGAGGTGTGCAGTGCCGTGGATGGCCGCAGTGGCCAACCAGGGCACGTTTGCCAATATCAGTTACTGTTAAAAATGTGGAAACGTGGTAATGTTAGTTATGTGTGAAGATCTTAAAATGTCTCATAAAAGGTGACTAAAGCACCGGGGCCAGCAGTTTGTTTCCTAGTTAATTGAAGGTTCGGTACTTTCTGAAGCGCTCAGAAAGAAACTGCAGATACTTAAATATGAGAAAGGAATTAAAATCAAAGAAGACTGCTGGATCCCTGCAGGCGCACAGAACATGAAGAGTTCTGTGAAAGGTGAGAGCCAAGCCCCCGCCTACCCGTCCATCTGAGTGCGAGGAACCGTGAGCCCGGTTCTCTGCCCTGGGGGGCTCCCAGCCATTCCGTTTCCGCCGTACAAAAATGCACTGACTGGTGAAACGGTCGGGGCCGGACCGGAGCGATTTCACGACTTGAAACTGAAAATACAGAATTTATTTTTGGAAATTAACCAACCCATCTGTAACCCCCCCAGGGGTCATTTTAAAATGCTTAAACAAAAACGGCCCGGTGGAATACTGGCCACGAAAAGGGGGTTTGGGAACAGATAGCGTTTTCTAAATACTGTTTTGTACTTCTCCAGAAATGCAAAAATAATTAACATTAAGCCAGTGCATTGAATGAAGGGGGGTTGAGTTGACACCATGAAATACACCATTTGGGATTCAACGCTACCAATTATTTATGCTCGGAGCAGCAGCGTATTGCACAGATATTGTTATGCATTGTCCGTCAGGACAAGATAGCTATATACTGCAAAATTAAATTTAGATATATTCTGCGAAATGTTTTATTAATCTTATCATGACATACTGTTAAAGTTCGAAATTAAGTTAATCATTACCGACTCAGATTTCCAAAAGTTTTTGTGGAAATTTTGTAAATTGCACCGAACACTCCTGCTCCTGCAGCCATGACCTCAGATGAATTCAGCCGCGGCAATTTGCGCATCTGGAGCGGATTTCGATTCGGTTTCTCCTCTGGGCCGCTGTGCGCATTGGCATGGAGTCGGCAGAGATAAGAGATTGTGAAAAGGGCGGTTAACTCTGCCTTCTGGGTAAGGGGAGCCAACGACAACATTATATAAGCGGGTTTTCTTTCTCCTAGCTTATTTGAAGACAATTCTTTTATTACACGTCTGGAATTTTAATGATGAGAACTAGAGGGGAAAACTTCAAAGGAGCGTGGCAGGAGGATGTGCGGAGTCTGTGTTACTCAGCTGGTTGATGCTCTTTGATAACCCTAGTAATTGGTACTGGAGCATAGATGGGAGGGGGGGGGCTTATACAAACACCGGGAGGCTGACGGCCTGAAGAATTCCAGACAGCTCTGCTGAGCCCCCAATAATAAATATGTCATCATGAAGATGGTCTCTGTGCTGGTATTAATTAAGACCACCTCACCTACATAACTATGGAGACTGTTACCAACTCAGCAGAGCATTTTTAACATCCCCTTGCCTGCCCTGTCCAGCAATGTGCTTGCAATCGCTGGAAAATATGCTGACGTTGCTGGGCTGGAACCAAGCTAGCTTAATACGATTGTTTATACTCCGTGTGAATCCCACAATATATATTTCATATTAATAAATTACCCTTGAAGCCTGTAAGTTATTGTTTTAAATAGACTAGTGGTCCCACAGCTAAGATCCCATGAGAACTGGAGCAGTTTTGGGAAAAGGGAGGGAAAATAAAATATGATGAAAAATACATTTTATATGCTTGAGGCCAGTCTCGTGGTTCACATGCGATATGGATCTGTATATTTGGGTTGTTCTGCAGTGTGAATCTCCTTTGTTCACTTTCTTATTCATTTTTTTCCCACAGTGCAGAGGATATTAATTTCCTTTTGTCAGACTTTTGACAAGCTTGAATTGGTAAAATTTATTTTTTTGCACAGTGTTGTTTTTAGAGTTTGCTGCATAGTGTACATTTCTTGCTTAATAATGTCAACTACATATTTTCAGTCATAATGCTTTTTTGTCTTATCCACCAAAAAAGGGAATAGGGGGCAGTTTCTGAACCTTTGCATTTTTGATGGTGGATGTTCTATCTGAATTAGTAACTCAGCGTTTTCATAGTTATTACATGATTAACTGAAATGACACCTAATTAATATTACAGTGAGCTGGTGTTTTAGCGTGCATTTTACTGTTCTGCTTAGAGACAAAAAAAAACTGTGCAAATGGTATGATTCGGAAAGAAAACGGCAACTTTCCACCCAAATCATGGCAAAGACGTGTTGAAGTAAATGAAGTTCCCCTGGTTCTCAGTGTTCTGGATTTGGGGATTAAGGTCCCTGTAACAGCCGACCAGTAGCCTGCCTTTGAACAGCACTGGCTTTCGCTGCTGATTCGAGCTTTCGGGGACATTTGTTGATCCTTATTTTACCCGTGTAGTGTGACCTAGTGCTGCGTGGTTCAGGCGGCCTAATGTGCCGCAGACCATAAAGTGATATCACTTAAAATATATCGGGTTATGTTATATGTCCATCGAATATAATATAGTTAATAAAACAAACACAGTTGGATGACACACTGAAATATATTTGAACTTTGTCTTTTCTTTTATTTAATATGTGTTCTTTAGTATGTATTACCAATATAATAAAAAAAAAAAACAGAATAGGCAGTAATGTAAGGTGTCTTGAATGGTATTAGCGAGTGGCGAAAATCGACTTAGGTCAAATTTGGTTTAAGTAAATGTTTGCGGTGAATGTGCCAGTGTGGCGCTTTGTGCAATGACTATGACGAGGCGCTAGATGGCAGCCTTGTGTGCGCTTTTTCAATCCTTGCGTGATGCACGTTCTCAACGCCTGAAATGTATCCAAAGTAACTGATGGAGGAAGTGGAATTTAGGAGCAACGAAATGTGCACCTGGAAATGTCAAAAGGCCAGTTTTGTGAGGGTGTTGTCTTCAAGAACACAGTCAGCAATGTGTCAGGACACTTCTGTGAACTGGTGGGAACATCTTGTAAATCCCAGTAAAGGAGAAGCACTGATTCAGAGTATCGATAAAGAGGAATGCGGCCGTATACTGCGGTGTGGCAGCCGAGCTCTGCCGTCCGCCGATGGTACGTTTCTGACCTGTCCTCTGGACATGTTTCAGACATGGGGTTTGTATCTTTTGTTCCCTTGTTTGTCACAGATTTCTAATTGACATTTCTATTTAAAAGCCTAGTTTTTTTCTCTCTCTCTACTCTCCATATATGTTTTTTTTTTATCTTGGTTGAAAATTCA